CCCTCCGAACGTGACTCTATGCTTTCCCCCACAGTTACAACATTTCTCTTCTACATCTTCCTTACATTCTTCAAATTTATGATCTTCCCCACATTTTGGACATCTCTGCTTTCCTTTACATACTGCCGCAATGTGTCCGTACCTTTGGCATTTATAGCACCGAAGTGGTGGAGGTACATAAGGTCTGACTTGGAAGCTTATATATCCTATTTTTATGCTCATTGGCAGCTCTTTTCCCTCAAACTCCATTAGAATGGACTGACTCCCCACTCTCTTCCCATCCACAGTTCTTGACAGCCTTTTCATATTAGTCACCTTTGCTCCAACTATATTTTTCTTAAGTTTTTCTAGATCCTCATCTAGAGGGATCCCATATATCACTCCTCTAGTTTTTATATTATCTCCCAACATTTTTTTCTCCAGCACCACTCTTTTACATATGTTATCCACATTGAAGGCTTTATTCTTTTGCTCTATATCCTTACATTCTATCAAAAGGCTTCCGTCTCTCAAAATCTTCACCATTTCAACATCTCCTATTTTCTTTTTAATTTCTTTTGACACCCCAATTGGGCTGATTTTCTCCTGACCGTCCTCGCTCTTAAGTTTCAGAATTACTTTAAATTCCTCATTCCCAACTTTTCTCCTTACAACCCTTCCTTCCTCTGAACTGCTTCCTTCTAGATCCCTTTTACTTCCTTGATTATCTCTAACACCCTTTCCTTCACCTAGTTTCATTCCACCCCGTCCTCTTCCTCTCCCTCTTCCCACTGTCGTCCACCCTTCTGGTTCCCCTTCTTCTTCATTACCTAACTCCATTTCCATCCGAACCATTCACACACCAGTTTATGCCAATTACCGCCTTTTCCACACTCCAAGTTTGGTGTAGTTTTGAACTGTCGTTCAACTCAAACTCTCCTCCGACGCAGATCAACGTTAGCTTCCTCCGGGCCCTACTCCTACCCTCAAGGTGGCGGGTTTGACATCACTCCACCCTCCTCTCACAAGAAGAAGAAGAAGAAGAAGAAGAAGAAGAAGAAGAAGAAGAAGGAGGAGAGAAGAACATTGAATTTATAAGTAGGAAATTACAGGAAGGATTAAGTAAGGTAGAAGATTGGGCTTTAGAATGGGGATTTAGGTTCTCAACATCTAAATCTAAAGTTGTGCTTTTTACAAATAGGAAGGTAAATATTAATGTGGATCTTAAATTATATGGGAATACTATAGAAAGGAAAGATCAAATTAAATATTTGGGTATGTGGTTTGATAAAAAACTCACATGGAAAATACATATAGATAAAATAGTGGAAAGAAGTAAGAAAATTTTAAATATTATAAGATGTTTGAGAGGTAGAGAATGGGGAGCAGACAGGAAAGCATTAAAGACAATCTATATCGGACTAATTCGGTCAATTTTTGACTATGGTTGTATTTTGTATAATTCAGCTTCAAATAGTTTATTGGCAAAAATAGATAAAATACAGTATCAGGCATTAAGGCTTTGTTGCGGAGCAATGAAATCAACTCCAGTTTCAGCTCTACAGGTTGAGATGGGTGAGATGCCACTGGAGCTCAGGAGGGAACAATTAGCATTAAATTATTGGACAACTATAAAAGGACATAATGAGGGGCATCCTCCATGCTACGTTGCAACCTTGTCAAGAAAAGGAAAAGAAACAAATTAATAGTTTTGGATGGATAATTTTAAATAAAGTAAAGGATATTGGGATTGATAAATATATGATTAGTCCAGTGGTTGTTAATCCTGATATTCCGCTATGGATTTTTGAACAGGTTGAAGTTGATTTAAAATTATTGGAAAAAGGAAGACAATTGAGGAAAAATGAAGTGGAGAGTTATATACAAAAAGAATATTCAGAATATATTCAAATATATACAGATGCCTCAAAAATGATAAACAATCGAGTAGGTATATCATTTATTGCTCCAGACTTAAACTTTATGAAAAGTAAAAGAATAAATGATAAATTGACAGTATACACAGGTGAGTTAATGGCAATTTTAATGGCTTTAGAATGGGTAGAGGAAATGGAGAAAAGAAAGATTTTGATTTGCTCAGATTCTAGTAGCGCGTTAATTAGTATTCAAGAGGTAAATTCAGAATCAAGACAAGATATTATATTTGATATAGTTCATTCAATTTTTAGAATTAAAAATAAGGGCTCTCGGGTTAAGTTGTGTTGGATTCCTGCCCACATTGGAGTGATAGGAAATGAGTTGGCTGATGGTTTTGCTAAGAGAGCTTCAAGAAAGGAAATTGTTGAGTTGAATATCAAGATAAGTAAAAATGAGATAAAGAGCATTATAAAGGAGTATATCAAAGGAAAATGGCAAGAGCAATGGGATAAAGGAGACAAAGCAAGGTTTTATTATAGTATTCAAAACAAAGTTGGGGAATTTAGGAAAGGAAACAGAAATAAAAGTGAAGAAGATGTTATTTCTAGAATTAGGTTTGGACATACGGGACTAAATAGTACTATTAAGTTAATTAATAAGCATAATACAGGGTGTTGTAGTTATTGTGGAAAGTTAGAAACAGTACAACATATTTTCTTAGAGTGCAATAAATATACGGGAAAGAGAGATGCTAGTTAGAGAGCTTAGTAGTAATAAAACCAAATTGATTATAAGAGATTTATTTCAGAGATCATCAGGGGATATAGTTTTTGATAGTATTTTAAACTTTCTTAGAAGAACGGGTATTATGAAGAGAATATAAGCTTTTTGATCCATACTCCAACCTGGAAGGTGGCGGTAATGCACCTTAAAGTTGTTTGCCAACCGCCATAAAACAAGACGAAGAAGAAGAAGAAGAAGAAGAAGGAGGAGGAGAAGAAGAAGAAGAAGCCGTGTTTGTTGTGTTGAAGACAAGCTTCACTGTGTCGTGTTAAAAACGACTTTCTTGATATAAGTGTGAATGTAGTGGATTGAATCGCTTGAAGATAGTCTCAGCAGGGTTGCTGCATCGAAACCAGCATGGCGTCTTCGTTTGTTGTCGGGGCTACATTCAGAAACCGTGTGACTGAGTTGATGGAGAACCCGGAAGGATCTCTGCCGCAGGGACTGGAAGAAGAACTGGAAGAGCTTCTACACAAACCACCACCGACAGTGTTGACCTTCAGCACGGCAAGAAAACTCAAAAGATACCTTGAGGACTCAGGTAACACCGATCCATGGAGGGGGGTTATAATGTATCAACGCCTTCGCTTCAAAAATGGCGTTAAGGATCTGTGTTGAAAAGGGAACAAGTCAAACATCCAGGAGCCATGTCTGTTCAGTGTTGCCAGGTAGAGTCGAGGTTTTCCAGCTCAAAAGTGCGTTAAAACCGCCCCATCACACAAAAACCCGCCCAATCCACACACACGTACACGCACACACACACACAATACCCCCCCACCCACTGTAAAGATATATTGGTGTTTATATGTTCATCAGTGTGATGAATCAAACTCAGTTAAATGTGAACGTTGGCGTTCTTTATTCAGAAAAATCAACACGTCACATTTCAGGATCTGGTTATTAGACACATTAAATGTTCAATATTAATATTTCTATATGTACCACAGTAGTATTGTTACACACATTAGTAGTTGTAAACACTAAAAATAATACATATGTTGGTTTAGTGCCTAAACCTACTCTAAACATTTAAGGAGTAAACATTTTTAATCACTTTTAAAAGTTATAAATGGCTTTGGTGTCTGTTTTCCAAATATATTAGTGTGTGTGTGTGTGTGTGTGTGTGTGTGTGAATGACAGGGATGAACTTAAAACACTTTGTAGAACGGTGCTTTATGAAGTTCAGTTCATTTCTATCGGTTGACTGGCAGTTCTGCCACATCCAATATGGCGGCCACTAGGACGTACCGCTGCAACGGGCCAGCCCATTCAACGAGGGGGCTGCCTCACCAGCTCTCTGTTGTGATCACCCTGGCAGATGACAGTAGTGATGGAGAAAGGTCAGGGGAGCTTGAAATGTGTTCAATAAATTAACTCAAAAACCGCCGATCTGACTCCAAATCTGCCCAAATTATCTCCACCTGCCCAAAGCAATTTTTACCCGCAAAATCAGAATGAAAACCGCCCAATCTGGCAACACTGCATCTGTTTTTTTATTAATACTTCACATTGACTTGTCACATGGACCATCTCGCAGTTACTTATGCGCATGCGTATTATAATGCACCACGCCCCCAAATGGGTTCCTAGGTATTTCTGGTTGGCGTTAGTTTTTATTATTTTGGTCCTTTGACTTCTGCTCTTAATTGACTTTTTTATGCAGACGTATTTATCAGTTAGTTTTAATAGTATTTTAAGTTACAATAGCGATGTGTAATATTCCCGAGCGACATACGAACACAGTGTATTTCAACGAACCGGAAGTAAGCACGATAATATCTAGACCACAAAGCATGCAAACTACTGACTTTGAGCATGCGTATTAGCAACTGTAAACTGGTCGGTTAACAAAACTATTTTCTACAAATGTTTAATGAAAGACATACAAGACATGTGTCGTGTTACTTTTGTAAGTGGCTCTGTTTCTCTCCAGGGCAGCCTTTGTACCTGCATGAGCTTCTGGAGGACAGTTCCCTGCACCTGCCCGAGTATGTGAAGCCTCCCAGAGTAAGTGCAGTCTTATCTTTTTATGTCACCCACCGCTGAGAGATGAGCATTAATGCTTTAGTGCATGTGTGTACTTAATCCAAATAGCTCATGAACCTCACGATGGATTATACAGAAACTTGCAAAAAGTAACAATTTGTTGTACCTCTACACCTACCTTTTGGTATCAACCCAGTTAAAGATGGCTGACCATGCTAAACACAAAATGAGCTGTATCTTGGCCAGTTTTTACAGATATTGACCTACAATTTGGCATCATAGAATTTGATACTAATACCCAATACATACTCTGAACAAATACACAGTCTTGCCAGATAGAGTTGAGATTTTCCAGCCCAAAAATGTGTTAAAAACCTCCACAGCACACAAAATCTGCCCAATCAATAAATTGTTACAGTATATTTACTGTTTGAACATGAGCACACATCAGTACAAGCCGAGGTATTTTAACAATATGTAGCAAAACACAGCAATCCAACAGAAATCTTCCCAGAGTTCCCAGCAACATCAGAATGAAAACCGTCCAAGTGGCAGTAAACCATCCAATCTGGCAACACGGATTGTACAAGATTTTTATTCAGCTATTTGCCGTTAACAATTTGGAGTCAACTCTGGCAGCAAAATATCTCATGAACAACTAAACTGATTTTAATGAAACTTTCAGAAAGTCATTTCTGGATGTATTTCTACAACTTGTTATATGTTGAAGTCAACATATCTCAGTATGATTGCCACAGCTAATAGACTTTAGAAAACACAAAAGTAGCTATAATTAAGTTAATTTTTACAGATGGTGCTAAAATCTGGTGTGGCTGTAGCTGTGAGTCATTCACAACACGTCCTCATAGTAGTACTAGTCAAAGATCTTTGTTAAAACTAGCATTACAAACTGGAGACAATCCAGTTTGTCTGTGAGCAAAGCATTTCTTGAACCAATGAATGGATGTTCATGAAGCTTTCATAAGGTTCCCACCAGATGCACGTCTACAACTGAATACGTTTTGGAGTCGGTCTAATTCAAGGTGGCAGACACAGCTAATTGATATGATTAAACACAAAAAGTCAAACTGAACTTTGATGTGGTAGTAGTTAAGAGTTGTTCACAGCATGAACTCTGAGCATCTCGTTATATCACACGAGCTAGTTCATGTCGGTGTTTCCAAGGTTTAAACAAAACTGTTAGACCTTTGTCACTGATCAGCATGAGAAGGTCTTAGTTGAAAACTTTATCATGGAAGGTGATACACATTCCTTCAAGGAATTGTACTCCTTTTTTACATAAAGTTTTAAACCTTTAGATTACCACATCATGTATCCACCTTATTCCTAGCCCCCATGCTGCCTTGCGTGAATTATGGGCACAACTTCTGGTGCAGACCAGAACCAGCATTTTTTTATGTGAACAGTGTGTAGTTTCCCTGAGCATTGTGGATTTAATTTAAACATGTAGGAACACCACCTGTCAGAGCTCAGTTAGTTCAAGTTCAAGTTGTGTTTATCTGTCATATGCAAAGTTAATACTGGGTTAACAGCACAATGAAATGCTAAGGATGAGAAGAACCGATTTGACTCGCTAAAAACATCAGAGGACAAAGAAACAAGAAATACTAAAAGCATGCAATAAGGGTACACAAAAAAAGTACCAAAAAGTGAAAAAGTAATTATAATATTTAAATATTTACAATGTTACATATATATTTACAATGTCCTAAAGCGAGATATTAAACAACAACATGGTAAATAGTATAATCATACTGCTGCCTGCTGAGGACGAGGGATGGAAGATGACTTGAAGAAGGGGCTGCTGATTACATCTAGTAGCATATTTAGCTGCATCTACTAGCATATTTAGCTATATCTACTAGCATATTTAGCTACGTCTACTAGCACATTTACCTACGTCTACTAGCATATTTAGCTGCGTCTAGTAGCATATTTAGCTGCGT